ATATATATATATACATATACATTCACATATACATATACAAATATATAAAAAACAACAAAATTGTTGATAATATAAGGAAAAACGAATAAAAAGCAGGAAATATAAAAAAATGTATAAATAGGCCTACACAAAGATTTAGAGAACATTAAGTTCTCTATGCTGCATGCTATTTTCATTCATTTGTCTATTTATGCGATGCCTAGGCCTAATTAAATTACAGTACATTTTACAATCCACGGATCGTTATTAAGTCACTATATAAATCATATTGCACTTTATTAAATTAATTAAAATGATTAAAATATAAAACTGATGTATAAATATACAAAGATGTTAAGAATGTTAATGGCATTAAGATCATTTTATGCTGCATTCTATTTTCATGAATTTGTATATTTATTCGGTTGTTATAATAGATCTACTGTATTTAAATTAAAGCATACCGTATATTACAACCCACGGACCAACGGATCGTTTTTAAGTAACTATAATATTACACTTTATTAAATTAATTAAAAAATATTACTTAATTTAAAAGAGTACTTAGATTTAAATTGTTAAATGTAGGTTGCAAAAACATGTACCGGTATGTCATCACACAACAACAAATCTTTAGCTCTCTATTGTTGTAACTGTTGTTTACATTTTCACCGAGATATTCCACTTTAATGCCATTGTATTATGGCAAATTTTTATAAGATTTGCTATGTTTTATAATAGTCCAAAAACGAATGAAAGGACCCTCTATAAACTGGTTTTAGATCACAATCTCCGGTTAGAAAAATGTAGGCCTGAACAACAAACAACACAACAATTAAATTTAACACCATGTAGGCCTATTCTAATAAAGGCTTGTACAACAGTACAGCAGCACACGATTTACTTACATATCTGTACATTTTCCAAATTTAGAAGAAACATCATTCCAAACTTCACGACGACGTGTCTACATAAACAGTATTCCACATAACTTGCTTTTACCATAATTTGGGTGTTATCAGACAGGTGCACAACCAGGTATCTGAAAGAAAATTGCTGTTTGATGCAGTAGAATCATATTTTCGTTTGTGGCTATGGCTTTATGGATCAATTTTTCATTATACTACAATACTTCAATAGACTTAAATTGATACAGATAATTACTGGCCCGGTATTTTAGCAACTGTAACTTCATGTCTAAATTCAACTTAAGGTATGGTCCAGCTACGTCACTATTTTTTTAATACAACAATCCAGTCGTAATTATATTATAATTTACCTTTATTTAAAACAATTTCAGACAAATTGCACCACTCACGTATAGGCAATGCTCTCGTCTAGCAAAATATTCAAGATAACGGAAATATTGGGGGGTTTTCGTATTTTATTGCAAAAGAAGACAAATTAGGTCTAATACTGTACATAACATTTCTTTGTAAACAT